ATATTACCCAGCAATAAAAAAGAATGAAATAATGTCTTTTGCAGCAACTTGGATGGAGCTGGAGGCCATTATTCTAAGTGAAGTAACTTAATAATGGAAAACCAAATACCATATATTCTCACTTATAAGTGAGAGCTAATATATGAGAAAGCAAAAACATACAGAGCAACATAATGGACCATGGGGACTTGTGGGAGAGGTTGAGAAGACAGCGAGAAATAAGAGACAACACACTGGGTGCAGTGTACACTCTTTAGGTAATGGTTGCATGAAAATCTCAAAATCCACTACTAAAAATTTCATTCATGTAACCAAAAACCACCTGTACCCCCAAAATTATTGAAATTAAAAAATATATGAAACAAAACAAAAAAAGAGTTTAATGCCCAATTACAATGAATATAATAGTAGCATATTGCCAAGCATGTTTGGTACAACCTTCTGCACATGTACACACACAAACTGAAAACACAACTATGATGTGCAACAAATGCAGTTGACTATAAAGTGAGGAGATTCAAAGAAGCTGGCACAGTTTGGGGGGTTGCAAGCATTGGCAATTGGCAAAGTCCTATAGAAGGCATTTTGAAACCTTTGACACAGTCATTTCAGTACCTGGAATTTATGCAAAGAAAACAATTTCGCTGAAGAAAAATGACTTAAGAAAATTTTTTAAAGCAATATTAACTATGGGTAAGTGCTGAACACAACTATAATGTCTCTCTACAGATAATTTACCTAAATAATGATTTATCATTATTTTACTACTTTAAACTCATTAACATGAAAACTAAGACATGTTTGTTGACATATGAGAGAGTATTAAAAGGAACATGAAGAAGGTCAAAAAAGATGACATGAATTTTAATTAGATATTAAGTCTTTTGCATATACATTAATATATACTCTCTGTATAAAGAGAAACTTCAGAAGGAAATACCAAATAATTTTATGGTCTGTTATAATATTCTGAATTCTGTAATATAGATTAGATTCTTAAAATTATATTTTTATGGTTTTAAATTAATAATTAATTTCTTTGTATTCTAGTTCCTATACAACAATCTTCCTACTCCCTTTGTGACTTTATACAGGATATTTAATTTCCCTGAATATTGCATAGTATGTGTACATGTTGAGTTTAGTAAATGTCATCTGAACCAGTATACTTTCCAAGGGCAGTCACCCACCTGCAAATGGCAAGCTCCCAAGTCTCTTCAGATTTATTTAGCAATTCAAAGCAATACCTGGCTGCATTTAGTCAAAAATTTCTCACAAATCTAGCATACTTTCCTGTATACGGTAGGTGGCTGATATATGTTTTTTTCAAATGAAAGAGCTTCCTTTTCTGAATGAGAGTAATTTAAGAAATTCTTATTTACTGATGGGAATTCATGAATGCAAAGACGGGGACAAGAGATGCTGGGGCCTACTTGAGGATGGAGGGTGGGAAGACAGAGAGAAGCAGAAAAAATGACTATTGGATACCAGGGTAAGTAGCTGAGTATGAAATAATCTGTACAACAAATACCCATGACACAAGTTTACCTATATAACAAACCTGAACCTGTACCCCCCAAACCCCAAATAAAAGTTTTAGAAAAGCAATTTTTATTCACATGCAACAGGGATACTTTGATTCATTCTACTTCAATGGGAGAGCAAAAGGAGATGAGGAGTCCCAGAGCAATAAGTCTCCTTTTTTCTCACCTGTCAAGCTCTCTTCTCAGGCACCCTCTGCCCTCTGCAGAGGTAAAAGCCAAGAAAAGAGGCAGCAGCCTATTCCAGAAGATGAAATGTACACTCTGAGTGTAGTGGTCTTAAAGGATTTGTTTTGATTTGTTTTCTCCAGAGACTCCTGAGCTCAAGTTTTTAAAGGAACACATACACCAAGCTCAGCAAACGTCTGGCAGCTGAATGTGAGATTAAGCCCCTCACTCTGTGTTCCACATTCTGGGAGATGGCTCTGTAACATCAACAGCATGGCAGGGTGCATTTTGAGGCTCTTTCTCCAGAAAGCTTAATTGTTTTCTACTCCCAAAGGTCCTGACTTTAATCAGAAACTCTGAGCTGTAGAACTAACAGGCCAAGAGCTGGGATGTGGATGGGTTTCTAAGGCATTATCAATTTTGGTCCCTCTGCTTTTACAGGCACCTGCAGCAGAATCAAAAAGCAGCTATTGTTCAGATTCAATGTTGAGAACTGAAACTCTTTAAAAATTGTACTTTAGGTTCTGAGGTATATGTGCAGATCACACAGGGTTGTTGCATAGGTACATACATGGTCTAGGTGGTTTGCTGCCTCCATCACCCCATCATCTGTATCTGGCATTTCTCCCCATGTTATCCCTCCCCACCCTCTCCACACCCCACTGTGACTCCCCTATCCCCCTGAAACTGGCCCCAGTGATGCTCCCCTTCCTGTGTCCACATGTTCTCATTGTTCAACACCTCCCTATGTGTGAGAATATGTGGTGTTTGATTTTCTGTTCTTGTGTTAGTTTGCTAAGAATGATGGTTTCCACATTCATCCATTTCCCTACAAAGGACACAAACTCATAGCTTTTTATGGCTGCATAGTTTTCCACAGTATATATGTGCCACATTTTTCTTGTCCAGTCTATCATTGATGGGCATTTGGGTTGGTTCCAGGTCTTTGCTATTGTAAACAGTGCTGCAATGAACATACATTGCATGTGTCTTTATAATAGAACTATTTATAATCCTTTGGGTATATACCCAGTAATGGGATTGCTGGGTCAAATGGAATTTCTAATTCTAGGTCCTTGAGGAATCGCCACACTGTCTTCCACAATGGTTGAACTAATTTACACTCCCACCAACAGTGTAAAAGTGTTCCTATTTCTCCACATCCTCTCCAGCATCTGTTGTCTCCAGATTTTTTAATGAACACCATTCTAACTGGAGTGAGATGATATCTCAATGTGGTTTTGATTTGCATTTCTCTAACAACCAGTGATGATGAGCCTTTTTTCATATGTCTGTTGGCCTCATATATGTCATTTTGAAAACTGTCTGTTAACGTCCTCTGCCCACTTTTGAATGGGTTTGTTTGGTTGTTGTTTCTTGTAAATCTGTTTTAGTTCTTTGTAGATTCTGGATTTAGCCCTTTGTCAGATGGGTAGATTGCAAAAATTTTTTCCCATTCTGTTGGCTGCCAGTTCACTGTAATGATTGTTTCTTTTGCTGCACAGACGCTCTGAAGTTTAATTAGATCCCATTTATCTATTTTGGCTTTTGTTGTCATTGCTTTTGTTGTTTTAGTCAGGAAGTCCTTGCCTATGCCTATGTCCTGAATGGTTTTGCCTAGATTTTTTTCTAGGATTTTTATGGTGTTAGGTCTTATGTTTAAGTCTTTAATCCATCTGGGGTTAATTTTAGTATAAGGTGTCAGGAAGGGGTCCAGTTTCTGCTTTCTGCACATGGCTAGCCAGTTTTGCCAACACCATTTATTAAACAGGGAATCCTTTCCCCATTGCTTGTTTTTATCAGGTTTGTGAAAGACCAGATTGTTCTAGATGTGTGGTATTGCTTTGGAGGTTCTGTTCTATTCCACTGGTCTATATCTCTGTTTTGCTCCCAGTACCATGCTATTTTGATTACTGTAGCCTTGTAGTATAGTTTGAAGTCAGGCAGCATGATGCCTCCAGCTTTGTTCTTTTTGTTTAGGATTGTCTTGGCTATGTGGGCTTTCTTTTGGTTCCATATGAAGTTTAAAGTGGTTTTTTCCAGTTCTGTGAAGAAGGTCATTGATAGTTTGATGGGGATAGTGTTGAATTTATGAATTACTTTGGGAAGTATGGCCATTTTCACAATATTGATTCTTCCCAACCATGAGCATAGAATGTTTTTCCATCTGTTTGTGTCCTCTCTTATTTCCTTGAGCAGTGGTTTGCAGTTCTCCTTGAAGTGGTCCTTTACATCCTGTGTTAGTTGTATTCCTAGGTATTTTATTCTCTTTGTAACAATTGCGAATGGGAGTTCGCTCTTGATTTGGCTCTCTGTTTGTCTGTTATTGGTGTGTAGGAATGCTTGTGATTTCAGCACATTGATTATGTATCCTGAGACTTTGCTGATGTTGCTTATCAGTTTCAGGAGATTTTGGGCTGAGACAATGGGGTCTTCTAAATATACAATCATCTGCAAAATGTCATCTGCAAATAGAGACAATCTGACTTCCTCTTTTCCTAATTGAATACACTTTATTTCTTTTTTTGCCTGATTGCTCTGGTTAGAACTTCCAATACTGTATTGAATAGGAGTGGTGAGAGAGGGCATCTTTGTCTAGTGCCAGATTTCAAAGGGAATGCTCCCAGTTTTTGCCCATTCAGTATGATATTGGCTGTGCGTTTGTCATAAATAGCTTTTATTGTTTTGAGATACCTTCTGTCAATACCTAGTTTATTGAGAGTTTTTAGCATAAAGGGCTGTTGAATTTTGTCGAAGGCCTTCTCTGCATCTATTGAGATAATCATGTGGTTTTTGTCATTGGTTCTATTTATGTGATGGATTACGTTTACAGACTTGCCTATGTTGAACCAGTGTTGCATCCCCAGGATGAAGCCTACTTGATCTTGATGGATAAGCTTTTTGATGTGCTGTTGCATTTTGTTTGCCAGTAGTTTATTGAAGATTTTTGCATCTATGTTCATCATGGATATTGGCCTGAAGTTTTCTTTTCTTGTTGAGTCTCTGCCGGGTTTTGGTATCAGGATGATGTTGGTCTCATAAAATGAGTTAGGTAGGATTCCCTTTGTACATCTGGTAGAATTCGGCTGCAAACCCATCTGGATCTGGACTTTTTTTGGTTGGTAGGCTATTAATTGCTGCCTCAACTTCAGCCCTTGTTATTGGTTTATGCAGGTTTTCAACTTCTTCTTGGTTTAATCTTAGGATAGTACAAGTGTCTGGGTATTTATCAATTTCTTCTAGATTTACTGGTTTGTGTGCATAGAGTTGTTTGTAGTAATCTCTATTTCTGTGGAATTGGTGGTGATATCCCCTTTATTGTTTTTAATTGCATCTATTTGATTCTTCTCTCTCTTTTTATCTGTCTGGCTAATGGTCTGTTTTGCTGACTTTTTCAAAAAACCAGCTCCTGGATTTTTTGAAGGTTTTTTTGTGTCTCTATCTTCTTCAGTTCTGTTCTGATCTTAATTGTTTTTTGTCTTCCTCTAGCTTTATAGTTGTTTTTTTTAATCTTGCCTCTCTAGCTCTTTCAATTTGGATGAATGGTGTCAATTTTAGATCTTTCCTTGTTTCCCATGTGGGCATTTATCGCTATAAATTTCCCCCTAGACACTGCTTTAAATGTGTCCCAGACATTGTGGTACATTGTATCTTCATTCTTATTGTTTTCTAAGAACATCTTTATTTCTGTCTTCATTTCATTGTTTATCTAGTTGTCATTCAGGGGCAAGTTGTTCAGTTTCTATGTAGTTGTGCAGTTCTGAGTGAGTTTCTTAATCCTGATTTCTAACTTGATTGCACTGTGGTTTGAGTGACTGTTATGATTTCCATTCTTTTGGATTTGCTGAGGAGTGATTTACTTCCAATTACGTGGTAGATTTTAGGATAAGTGTGATGTGGTGCTGAGAAGAATGTATGTTCTGCGGATTTGGGGTGGAGATTTTTTAGATGTTTATTCGGTTCACTTGGTCCAGATGTGTGTTCAATTCCTGGATATCCTTGTTGATTTTCTGTCTTAGAGATCTGTCTGATATTTCCAGTGGAGTGTTAAAGTCTCCCATTATTATTGTGTGGGAGTCTAAGTATCTTTGTAGGTTATTAAGAACTTGCTTTATGTATCTGGGTGCTCCTGTATATTGGGTGCATATATATTTAGGATAGTCAGCTGTTCTTGTTGTATTGATCCTTTTACCACATGTAATGCCATTCTTTGTCTCTTTTGATCTTTGTTGGTTTAAAGTCTATTTTATCAGAGACTAGGATTGCAAACTCTGCTTTTTTCTGCTCTCCATTTATTTGGTAAATCTTCTCCCATCCCTTTATTTTGGGTCTATGTGTGTCTTTGCACATGAGATGGGTCTCCTGAATACAGCACACCAATGGTTCTTGACTTTTTATCCAGTTTGCCAGTCTGTGTCTTTTGATTGGGGCCTTTAGTCCATTTATATTTAAGGTTAATATTGTTATGTATGAATTTGATCCTGCCATTTTTTTACTGGTTGGATGTTTTGCCCTTTGGTTGGCACAGTTTTTTCATTGCATTAGTGGCCCTTGCCATTTGGTTCTTTTTTGCAGTGGCTGGTACTGGTTGTTCCTTTCTGTGTTTAGTGCTTCCTTCAAGAGCTCTTGTAGGGCAGGTTTGGTGGCAACAAAATCTCTCAGCAATTGCTTGTCCATAAAGGATTTTATTTCTCCTTAACTTGTGAAGCTTAGTTTGGCTGGATATGAAATTCTGGGTTGAAAGTTCTTTTCTTTAAGGATGTTGAATATTGGCCCCCACTCTCTTCTGGTTTGTAGGGTTTCTGCTGAAAGATCCACTGTGAGTCTGATGGGCCTCTCTGTGGGTGACCTGTTCTTTCTCTCTGACTGCCCTTTATTCCTTTGTTTCAATCCTGGTGAATCTGATGATATGTGCCTTGGGGTTGCTCTTCTTGAGGAATATCTTTGTGGTGTTCTCTGTATTTCCTGTATTTGAATGTCAGCCTCCCTTTCTAGGTTGGGCAAATTCTACCAGATAATATCCTGAAGAGTGTTTTCCAGCTTGGATTCATTCTCCCTATCATCTTCCAGTACATTGATCAAGCATAGATTAGATCTTTACACATAATCCCATATTTCTTGGAGGCAGTGTTCATTTCTTCTCACTCTTGTTTTCTCTTTTCTTGCCTTCTCCTTTTATTTCATTGGTTTGATCTTCAATCTCTGATATCCTTTCTTCTGCTTGGTCGATTTGGCTATTGAAATTTGTGTATGCTTCTTAAAGTTCTTGTGCTGTGTTTTTCAGCTCCATCAAGTCATTTATGCTCTTCTCTAAGCTGGTTATTCTAGTTATCATTTCTTCTAACATTTTTTCAAGGTTCTTAGTTTCTTTACCTTGGGTTAGAACATGGTCTTTTAACTCAGAGAAGTCTGTTATTACCCACCTTCTGAAGCCTGCTTCTGTCAATTCGTCAGATTCATTCTCTGTCTTTTTTTGTTCCCTGATGGTGAGGAGTTGTGATCCCTGGGAGGAGAAGAGGTGTTCTGTTCTTTGATGGTTTCATCCTTTTTGTGCTCTTTTCCCCCCCATCTTTGTGGATTTATCTCACTTGAATCTTTGCAGTTGGTGGTTTCAGGAGGAGTCTCTGAGTGGACTTTTTTTTTTTCTATTGAGGTTAAAGCTGTATCTTTTTTGGCCTGTAGAGGGTGTTGCTGAGCTCTCTCCGGTTCAGTAAGGTTGTTGGGTAGGTGGTCCTTCCCTGGAGTTTGTTTGCAGATGAGATTGGCTCCGCCTTCCCCATGGCATCTCACCCAGAGCTCAATCTTCTTGATTTGGGTCAAGCTGGGGTATTTGCTGCCAAGCTCTCTATCAAGCACTTCAGTTCGAGTTCTGTGGAGGTGGGGCCTGCCAGGCCTTATGGTCTGTTTCCCTGCTTTCAACTCTGCCTCCCTCTGTGGGATGGTCCATTCTGCTATCATTAGTCCAAACTGTCGCCCAGGTCCCTTCGACAACTTGTCGAGCCCAGCAGTTGCTACTGCTCAGATTTGCATTGACTATCCATGGCACCCTACCATCTGGCAGGGCCCCCATGGACCGTGGGTTGCAGGAGGGATGAGGCAAGCACAGGAGCCTAAACGGAGCACTGAGCAGGTTAAGTCCCCTGACCTTCCAAGCCAGCTGCACGTTTCAGGTTGGGACATGCCCCCCCATCTTGATTTGCCCCTCTGGGCAGCTCTCACCCTGTGGCTCCTTCCCTGGGCCCAATTCCAGTGCCCTAACAGTCCTACAGAAAAGAGCCTGACACTTCATTTGGAACTGTGAAGTCCTCCAGCCCTCTGCATCTCATTTCCTGGGAGCTGCGTTCCAGCACTGGCTTCCCTCATCCATCTTGGCACCTGCCTCCAGGCTACCTTTTTGCTAGCCAGGCCAAATTGAAAGAGCAGTGGCTGTACTCCTGAAATAGCAGCAATTTGTCCTAGCTGAAATATGGTAATGAGAATTAAAAAGATTTTTTTCTTTTCTTTTTTTTTTTTTTTTGAGACAGAGTTTCACTCTTGTTACCCAGGCTGGAGTGCAATGGCGCGATCTTGGCTCACCGCAACCTCTGCCTCCTAGGTTCAGGCAATTCTCCTGCCTCAGCCTCCTGAGTAGCTGGGATTACAGGCACGCGCCACCATGCCCAGCAAAAAGATTTTTTTAAAGGAGCTCAAATGGTTAAAAGTCAGCTTAATGAAACGCTAACATCCATGATGTGTATTTGTTTGTATACATATATGTGTGCTTGTATTTAAAAGGACCTCATGTTTTTTGTTTTGCTTCTCTTCTAGGATCTTGTCTTCTTCTTCTTCTTTTTTTTTTTTTTTTTGATAAAAGTTTATTCTTGGGCTGGGCGCGGTGGCTCACGCCTGTAATCCCAGCACTTTGGGAGGCCGAGGCGGGTGGATCACGAGGTCAAGAGATCGAGACCATCCTGGTCAACATGGTGAAACCCCGTCTCTACTAAAAATACAAAAATTAGCTGGGCATGGTGGCGTGTGACTGTAATCCCAGCTACTCAGGAGGCTGAGGCAGGAGAATTGCCTGAGCCCAGGAGGCGGAGGTTGCAGTGAGCCGAGATTGCGCCATTGCACTCCAGCCTGGGTAACAAGAGCGAAACTCTGTCTAAAAAAAAAAAAAAAAAAAAAAAGTTTATTCTTCTCAGTTGACTGAATTCTGTTTTCTTCATTTACTTTGGCTGTCTCTCCTTTCTCTTGCACCCTCTGCTGCATGGGGGACCTCAATAGTTTTTAATATCCTGGGGTTCCTTAAAGAAAATGAAGAAGGCATCAGACTTCCTTTGGGGGAGAAACCTATTTTTCCTTACATAACCCCTAGAATATAAACAGACCAAAACAGAGATATAGACCAATTGAACAGAACAGAGGCCTCTGGAGCAACACCACACATCTACAACCATCTGATCTTTGACAAACCTGACAAAAACAAGCAATGGGGAAAGAATTCCCGTTTAATAAATGATTGTAGGAAAACTGCCTAGCAGCTTGCAGAAAGCAGAAACTGGACCCCTTCCTAACGCCTTACACTAAAATTAACTCCAGATGGATTAAACTAGTTCAACCATTGTGGAAGACAGTGCAGCACTTCCTCAAGGACCTAGAAATAGAAATTCCATTTCACCCAGAAATCCCATTACTGGAGATATACCCAAAGGATTATAAATCATTCTATTATAAAGACATATGCACATGTACGTTCATAGTGGCACTGTTTACAATAGCAAAGACCTGGAACCAACCCAAATGCCCATCAACGATAGACTGGACAAAAAAAATGTGCACATATACACCATGGAATACTACACAGCCATAAAAAGCGATGAGTTTGTGTCCTTTGTAGGGAAATGGATGAATGTGGAAACCATCATTCTCAGCAAACTGACACAAGAACAGTACATCAAACACCACATGTTCTCACTCATAGGTGGGTGTTGAACAATGAGAACACATGGACACACAGAGGGGAGCATCACACACTGGGGTCTGTTGCAGGGGGCCAAGGGAGGGACGACAGGGTGTGGGGAGCTTGGGGAGGGATAACATGGGGAGAAATGCCAGATACAGGTGATGGGGGGATAGAGGCAGCAAACCACATTGCCATGTGTGTACCTACACAACAATCCTGCATGATCTGCACATGTACCCCAGAACCTAAAGTACAAAAAAAAAAAAATTGAAAAAAAAAACAACCAGACAAATTTGTCTCAGCTCTTAAATGGCTTACTTTTGTATTTTGTTACCATTATTTGGATGAAAACGGTTATTGCCACAGAGGTTACTCTAGGGTTTTTAAGAAAGAGTGTGGTTTAGACACTTAGAAATGTCTGATTAAAAAAAATTAATTTTTTAAAAAATAAAAAATATTTTAAGCATTACATGGTATAATCTTATAATAATTCTCCCTTTTTGGAGACCCAGGATTCAATGCGGACTCAAGATAGATCGTTCCTATCTAAATAAAATTGACCTCCTTATACAGTCCTATGATAGATTTCTATAATTTTATGTTTGATTTGGCATCCATCTTCAATCTCCCTCTAGTGCTACCAAACATTTTCTCTCTGTACCTTATGATTTAAATTTTGCTATTTGATTGTGACCTGACTTGTTTTATTTACCATACAAATTTAAGGCCATTTAGCTGAAAGCTGCCTAAGGTTGTGAAACAGGTTATCAAAGATTTGAAAGTCTAAGACAGAAAAAAAAAAGGTTTTTATAAATCTATAAAATGTGCTCCTATTGGCATGCCTAATACTTCTATATATTTATGTGTTGCATACACAATTTATCACTACTGAAAATATATAAAAGAGTTCTAATTAATTGACTTAAGAAAATAAACCAAATTACTTTATCAAGAAAAAATAAAAAACTAGTTAAATGCTTATTTAAGTTTATATAACTTAAGTAAAAGCTTTAATCAATAAGCTAGCTTTAAAATTATTGGTAAAGTAATATTGGAAATATCTTAAGAATGCCAGCATACATTTTTGTTTGCAATTTATAATCAAGCAATTTTATACTTATCACTGACAAATACTATAAGATGTCATAATTTGGCATAAGGCTTTAGGCAGTCACATAATTACTTACAAAAAATAGTAAGTTTTGTTTTGGGAAATAACTGTTATTGTCTTTGTCTCAAAGCTAAACTATAAACTAAGTCCCTCCCAAAGTTTCTCAGTTATAATTTTGCAATGGTGATTCCATAACTTTGAATACTGACAATCACAATTTTTATAAATAGTATAGATAAATGGTTAAAATAAAATAATTAGGTAAATGTAATAGGATAAATACTTGTAGAGAAACTCATCATAATTCAGAATCTAAAGTTATACTGAATTAATAATATGTATTTTATTATTTGGGTATCCTCCTATAAAACCACATTAATAAGAAACCATTTCTTTCTTTAAAAAAATGTTGTGCCCTTTAAAAAAAGGTGAACAATTTTTATATAATTCAAAGCTTATTTAAAGGTCATGTATAAAACTAAGTAAAAGGAACTAGGAAATAAAAGAGATGTAAAGAAAGTTATAAAAATAAAGAGTTCTTTTTTTTGGTAAGAAATCTTAAAGAGAAATAATTTCACATGAGAAAGAATCTTGTATGATAAATTTAGTCTGAGAGTAAAATGACTGTTTAAAAAACAGGGATGTTCAGTACAAACCAGAAAGTTCAAGCATGTTATAAATGGTCTGTGTAAGTCACAACAAGAGGATTTATGAGAAAACATGAAACAAGAACTTTTTCTGTTTTTAATTATACTTTAAGTTCTGGGATACATGTGCAGAATGTTCAGACTTTGTTATATAGACATACATGCTCCATGGTGGTTTGCTGCACTCATCAACCCATCATCTACATCACGTATTTCTCTAATGTTTTTCCTTCCCTTGCCCCGACCCCCCAACAGACACTGGGGTGTGATGTTCCCCTCCCCCCTGTGTTCATGTGCTCTCATTGCTCAACTCCCACTTCAGTGAGAACATGTGGTGTTTGGTTTTCTGTTCCTGTGTTAGTTTGCTCAGAATTATAGTTTCCAGCTTCATCCATATCCCTGAAAAGGACATTAACTTATTCTTTTTTTTATGGCTGCATAGTATTCCATGGTGTATATGTGCCACATTTTCTTCATGCAGCCTATCATTGGTGGACATTTGGGTTGGTTCCAAGTCTTTGCTATTGTGAATAGTGCTTCAATAAACATATGTGTGCATCTATATAGTAGAATAATTTATTATTCTTTGGGTATATACCCAGTAATGGAATTGCTGGGTCAAATGGTATTTCTAATTCTAGGTCCTTGAGGAATCTCACAATGGTTGAACTAATTTATACTCCCCCCAACAGTGTGAAGGTGTTTCTATTTCTCTACATCTTCTACAGAAGCTGTTGGAGTTTTTCATACTCACCATTCTAACTGGTGCAAGATGGTATCTCATTATGGTTTTGATTTGCATTTCTCTAATGACCAGTGATGATGATTTTTTTTTCACATATTTGTTGTCCGCCTAAATGACTTTTTATGAGAAGTGTTTGTTCATATCCTTCACCCACTTTTTTTGATGTGATTATTTGGTTTTTTCTTGTAAATTTGTTTAAGTTCCTTGTGGATTCTGGATATTAGCCCTTTGTCAAATGGATAGATTGCAAGGATTTTCTCACATTCTGTAGGTTGCCTGTTCTCTCTGATGATAGTTTATTTTGCTGTACAGAAGCTCTTTAGTTTAATTAGATCCCATTTGTGAATTTTGGCTTTTGTTGTCATTGCTTTTGGTGTTTTAGTCATAAAGTATTTGTTCATGCCTATGTCCTGAATGGTATTGCCTAAGTTTTCTTCTAGAACTTTTATAGCTTTAGGTATTACATTGATGTCTTTAATCCATCTTGAGTTAATATTTGTGAAAGATGTAAGGAAGGGGTTCAGTTTCAGTTTTCTGCATATGGCTGGCCAGTTTTCCCAACACCATTTATTAAATAGGGAATCCTTTTCTAATTACTTGTTTTTGTCAGGTTTGTCAAAGATCAGATGGTTGTAGATGTGTGGAGTTATTTCTGAGGCTTCTGTAATGTTCTGTTGGTCTATGTTTTTATTTTGGTACCAGTACCATGCTGTTTTTGTAACTATAGCCTTGAGTAAAGTTTTAAGTCAGGTAGTGTGATGCCTCCAGCTTTACTCTTTTTGCTTAGAATTGTCTTCACTATATGGACTCTTTTTGGGTTCCATATGAAATTTAAAGTAGTTTTTTTCTAATTCTGTGAAGAAAGTCAATGGTAGCTTGATGGGGATAGCAGTGAATTCATAAATCATTTTGGGCATTATGGCCATTTTCATGATACTGATTCTTCCTATCCATCAGCAAGGATTGTTTTTCCATTTGTTTGTGTCCTCTCTTATTTCCTTGAGCAGTGTTTTGTAGTTCTCCTTAAAGATGTCCTTCACATCCCTTGCCAGTTTTATTACTAGGTATTTTGTTCTCTTTGTAGCAATTGTGAATGGTAGTTCACTCATGATTTGGGTCTCTGTTTGTCTATTATTGGTGCATAGGACTGTTTGTGATTTTTGCACATTGATTTTATATCCTGAGACTTTGCTGAAGTTGCTTATCAGCTTAAGGAGATTTTGGGCTGAGATGATGGGATTTTCTAAATATAAAATCTTTTCATCTGCATTCCCCTCTTTCTAATTGAATATGGTTTATTTCTTTCTCTTGCCTCATTGGCATGGCCAGAACTTCCAATACTATGTGGAATAGGAGTGGTGAGAGAGGGCATCCTTGTCTTGTGCTGGTTTTCAAAGGGAATGCTTTCAGGTTTTGCCCATTAGGTATGACATTGGCTGTGAATTTGTCATAAATAGCTCTTATTATTTTGAAATACATTTCATCAGTACACACTTTGGTGAATGTTTTTAGCATGAAGAGATGTTTAATTTTATAGAAGACCTTTTCTGCATTTATTGAGATAAGCATGTGGTTTTTCTCATTGGTTTTGTTTATGTGATGGACTACATTTATTGATTTGTGTATGTTGAGCCAGCCTTGCATTCTAGGATGAAGCTGACCTGATCATGATCATGGTGGATAAGCTTTTTGGTGTGATGCTGAATTTGGTTTGCCAGTATTTTATTGAGGATTTTTGCACTGATGTTCATCAGTGATATAGGCCTGAAATTTTCTTTTTTTTCTCGTGTCTCTGTGAGGTTTTGGTATCAGGATGATGCTGGCCTCATAAAATGTGTTGAGGGGAATCCCTCTTTTTCTATTGTTTGAAATAGTTTCAGGAGGAATGGTACCAGCTCCTCTTTGCAACTCTGGTAGAATTCAGCTGTGAATCTATCTGGTCCTGGGCTTTTTTTGATTGATATGCTATTAATTACTGCCTCAATTTCAGAACTTGTTGGTGGTGTATTCAGGGATTTGGCTGCTTCCTGGTTTAGTCTTGGGAGGGTGTATGTGTCCAGGAATGTATCCATTTTTTCAAGGTTTTCTAGTTTATTTGTATAGAAATGTTTATGGTATTCTCTGATGGTAGTTTGTATTTCTATGGGATCAGTGGTGATATCCCTTTTATCATTTTTTATTTTGTCTATTTGATTTTTCTCTCTTTTATTCTTCATTAGTCTGGCTATCTATTTTGTTAACCTTTTCAAAAACCCAGCTCCTGGATTCACTGATTTTTTTAAAGGGTTTTTTGTGTCTTTATATACTTCAGTTCTGCTCTGATCTTAGATATCTCTTATTTTTTGCTAGCTTTTGAATTTGTTTGCTCTTGCTTCTCTAGTTTTTTTAATTGTGATGTTAGGCTGTCAATTTCAGATCTTTCCTACTTTCTCATGTGGGCATTTGGTGCTACAAATTTCCCTCTAAACGCTTTTCCATCTGTGTCCCAGAGATTCTGATATGTTATGCCTTTCTTCTCATTCGTTTTAGAGAACATATTTATTTCTGCCTTAATTTCATTATTTGCCCAGTAGTCATTCAGGAGGAAGTTGTTCAGTTTCCATGTAGTTGTACTGTTTTGAGTGATTTAAAAAAATAAAAAAACTTTTACATGATCAAGTTGTCACATTATTAAGTTTTGGTTTGCATCAGAAAAAAACTTAGAACTAATATTTTTTTAAAAATTAAGGTTTTTACATCCATGTATCTCTCCACCAGTGCTTTTTTTCAAATTAATTTGGTTTTTAAAACATTCATCAAAAGTATATCTCTTTTGTATTTTTAGTAGAGATCGGGTCTCACCACCTTGGTCAGGCTGGCCTTGAACTCCTGACCTCAAATCATCCACCCTCCTCAGGCTCCCAAAGTGCTGGGACTACAGTCATCAGCCACTGCAAATTAGCTGATCATGGTGGTGCACCCTTGTAGTCACTCCTAACTGTGCAGCTGAGGCAGGAGAATCACTTGAACCTGGGAGGCAGAAGTTGCAGTGAGCTGAGATCACACTGTTGCACTCCAGCCTGGGCAACGAGTGAAACTTCATCTAAAAAAGAAAAACAGTATATATCTTTTAAAACAATGTGAATATACTTAACATCTATAACTATAAACTTCAAAATGGTTAAGATGATAAAAATAAAGGCATATATTACCCTAATTAACATAATATTAAAAAATTTAAACTATGTATGAACAACCAAATCATTAATAGAATTGTGAAAAGTGTTCCTGTTTTCTAACATTAAGTTACATCTCTTTCTAAAAAGCTTCTGGGTTAGAAAAACAAATGCAAATGTTAGTTTAATAACATGGAGTTCCTACTGTTGAATTACAAAAAAGAAAGCAACGTAAATGAATATTAAGCCACCAATTAGTAGTCAGACACCCTTCTGTGTTAAAAATTTAGGTAAAATGTAAAAGATTTCAATATCAACTAGTAAAAACAAATACAGAAAAATTGTATAAACATCCACATTTCAAGTTCATTCATACTCAGTAAATTACAGATTTTAGCAAAAGAGTTAGCTATATAGTCTCTCTCTGATTTTATCAGTGTGAAATATAATATAAATATAACATTTTAGTTTACCCGTTGTTTTGGAATTATTATCTTATCTCAAGCTTAACTAGAATACCCTAAGTTTCTTCTACGTGTAGGGTAGATTATCATTGCTAACACTATATATTTAAGAACAGAGATGTAAACCTATGTATTTAATTAATGAGAGCTATAACAATCGATGTCTTTATATAAAACACTGCTAATTATGTGAGCCTATAGAATCACTTCATCTTTACTTTTTTTTACACAACATGTCTGTTTAATTGATGCATTTTATTTTATTATTTATTTTATGCATATTTATTTTATTTCTGGAATTTTAGTTTTTATTTGTATGTGTCCCACCTTTTCTATGTTTCTTTTTTTTTTAACCTTAAGTCCTGGGATACATGTGTGAAACGTGTAGGTTTGTTACACAGGTATACATGTGCCATAGTGGTTTGCTGCACCTACCAACCTGTCATCTATGTTTTAAGCCCTGCATGCATTAGGTATTTGTGTTAATGCTCTCTTTTCCCTTGCCCCCCAGCCCTTGACAAGTCCCAGTGTGTGATGTTCCCCTCCCTGTGTCCATGTGCTCTCATTGTTCAACTTTCACTTATGAGTGAGACATGTGTTGTTTGTTTTTCTGTTTCTGTGTTAGTTTGCTGAGAATTATGGCTTCCAGCTTCATCCATGTTCCTGCAAAGGACATGAACTTATTCTCTTTTATGGCTTCTGCATGCACTTTAAGGTACATGAACATTGCGTTACAGGGCTTCGAATCCTGGGTCTAAAAATGATTTAAATTTAGCAGCACACCAAGTCCTGCTAAATTTTAAAGAGTGACAGGAATTAAACCCCATCTTCAGCCCCAGTGGAAGATGCCAATCAAAATAAACAGTATTCCTGAGACACAGGGCCAGAAATTAAAGCTATTCAACTCCTGAAGGCCCAGGGGCTATCATAGAAGAGGTGGACATGTGTGACTGTAAGGGCCAATTTTGGGTGATAAAATAAGTCCAGTTTCTCTATAAATTAATCATTAATGTGAAAGGCACATGGATGCAAGATGAGCATATGGGCCCTTGTGTCAGATTAACAGGGTTTTCTTGAAGCATTTACTGACTCCTAAATAAAGGTTATAATGATTATATAATAGGCATATGGAAGTTATATCTTATGATCAAGATTAAAATTGTATACTTTATTTATATAATTTTGAAAAACAAATTTAATTGGCTTCTTGCTGTTTTTATTAGGGCTTCTTATTTGGAAAATTAAGTCTCCTCTCTCAAAGATTGAAGGTTTTTACCTTCTTTATTGAAGTCCCTGAGTTATCATTTTGGTCAAATGAATGACCTATTTTACAATGATCTATGACATCAAGTGTTTTAAACCTTTGATATTTCATGAACTTTCCAAAATCAAATTATAAATTGTTTTCTTCTGATCTAATTAATCCTTTAAGATATTAGGTTTCCTAAAGTCCAAAAATAATTTGGCTTATTTGCTATAAAAATTATATAGAAAACATTGTCAAATATGAATAGTGCTTGGTGTTTTTGTTTGTTTGTTTGTTTTGTTGTTGTTGTTATTTTTGAGACAGAGTCTCTCTCTCACCCAGGCTGGAGTGCAGTGGCATGATCTTGGCTAACTGCAACCTCTGCCTCCCGAGTTCAGGCAATTCTCCTGTCTCAGGCTCCTGAGTAGCTGGGACTATAGGCACGTGCCACCACACCTGGCTATTTTTTGTATTTCTAGTAGAGATGGAGTTTCACGATGTTAGCCAGGATGGTCTCGATCTCCTGACCTCGTGATCTGCCTGCCTTGGCCTCCCAAAGTGCTGGCATTACAGGCGTGAGCCACCATGCCGGGCCAAGTTTTTTAGACTGTATTTGTATAAATATGTCATTGGTATGTGTTCCAAAATCATGGGAAACTCATATAATTCTGCTATGACTTAGTGTACATTATCAGCAATAATTATAATTGTTACATCAAATTATTGTGTGCCACAGAGATAGCAGATTTCCTTGTCAATTGTGTTCTTGATTATGGCTGCTCTGAAACCTTCTGTCATCCACAGATAAGTTTTGTCTTGCTTTGATCCTCTTTAGAAGGTGATTTTATACTCAACCATAGAACTCCAACAGGTGTCCTTAAATGCAGGTTTCTGATAACTTTGGAGATTGTAACATTAGAATAGAGAAAACAACTTTCATGACTCTCGTGGAAAACTGAAATGTTCATGAATATAAAGCAAAGCAGCAGTTAACTGCATAAACTGAACTAATAGAAGCATAAAGCAATCTTTTTAACTGTTTTTCAGAGTCTAGAAAACTTCTAGGCTATTTGCAGCTTTTAACAATTGAGTCAAATATACTCTTATGAACAAAATTTGAACCATATTTGTTTCTCTCTACCTGATTTCTCTAGAAACTATTTGTGAGAATTTTTAACTTATGACAACACAGTTATTTGCATAAGTACAATAAGGGTCTGTTCTCATTTGTAACAGGACACAATTGGAGAAACTGGTTATTCTACCAAGGCTTTTACTAGAAATTGGTGTTTTCCTTTAAGGAATCAAACTTGACTGGTGGAGCCAATAAAAGCACCTTGGAAAAACTGGCATCATATCTTTGTCTACATAGCCCCTGTACAGCGTTCCTGACTTGTGATGAGTAAAGAATAACACTTTCTGACAGGCCCAGAAGCCCCAAGTATATCTTGGAACCTCTAGAGGGGATTACCCAACTCATAGGTATTTGATGGCACAAATCCATGGCTGGGCTCAGCTTTAAAAAAGACTTATTTGAAGTTCCTTCTATGGAACAAAGTTTCATCAAAGCCAAATTAAAAGCCTATAAAAATTATTATTCTTGCTGTACTGCATACAAATAATTAGGCCAAGTATAATAAAGCAAACCAGTCCTACCATGATTTGTCTTTAGCAAATATGGGAAAGCCGAGAGAGAAAAATTATGTTTCAAAACCTATAGTACACCTGTTTTTAGATTCTAGTCTTGCCTAATATTTTTGAAGTATAATTTTTCTTGTTTTCAAAGTAATGTTTTGAAAATGACTACTAGATTTCAAAATAATGTTTTCAATTTTTTTCCTTTTTTTCTCCTATTTTTTTCTAATTTGGAGTCACTGAAAACTAAACTGTAATTTTGTAAAGCCCTGCACACTGAAGCTAGAGAACTTAATCTTCAGAAGAAAATCACAGCAACTTATTTACGTAGATAAGCCACTTTCATACCTGCCTGCTGATGTGTGAAGGGGCTTCAGAGTAATGTGGCTTATATCAATTTTCCAGGATTGTTCTTTTGTTTGTTGTTGTTTTTCTCCTTTCCTCCCCCTATTTTCTCTTCCTAGGACATGAGACTTCACAACCTTCTAAAAAAGAGTCTTCCTAATAATGTAGGACTTACCTGTCTAGGAATAAACCATCTTAGCCATGAGAGATGAGACAAAACCAGAGAGTCATTTTCTTCTAAAATGATTCTCCAAAAGATTTTTAACAAGGGAGGATATGTGAAAGGAGAATACCTTGGGCCCTCAAAATCACTATAAGTCAAGCTGAGAACTGCTTAGAACAAACCTGCTTCCCATTCTATGCAAAGTCATTTTTCTGCTCACAGAGATAAATGCATATCTGATTGCTTCTTTTGGAGAGGTTAATCAGAAACTCAGAAGAATGCAACCATTTTTCTATTATCTAACTATGACCTGGAAGCCTCTGCACACCAACCACCAATGCTTTCTTAATTTTTCCAAAAAAGCTGCCTCAAAATTCTTTCTACCTTGGAAAAGTTTCTAAAATATTAAGGAAGAAAAGCATAAAATGTTGGGAACTACAGAAGTTAGCAGGTTCCTTGACTTCTTTCTCTAACAGGGATGGGCCAACTTGGCACTGGCAGAACAGAGACGTGCTGAAGTTATAACAGAAATAAAGAGAAAAGGTGATTCCTAAGTGTTCTGTTAGTGCTTGTCCATCAGAAAATAAAAGCAAAGCAAGTTCAGCTGAACATACTGCTTTCTGCATAAAAAAAAAAATACTCAGCTTATTTCTTAGGTTTATTGAGGATTTTTTGTCAAATATTGTGTAGTTATTGTGTTCAGTGGTTTTATTTTAATCCAAGTAAAATAAAATACATAAAAGAGAAATTTTGTCAGTTTTTGATATTTCCAGATAAAAAATAATTCCTTCTGTGCTAACTTCTGTTCCACCCAAAGGGACACCAGGAGGTACAATTTGATACCGTATTTGGGCTACAAGACTTGCCATAACTGGCTGGGCCAGGAGTGGGAACCTGATTGCTGGATTTAGAGTGGTATAGTCATTGATGAATTTGGAGTTGTGACTAAGAAATTTAATTTTCTATCTGAGTGGGTTATTTGAATGCCAGAAATGCAGAAATTTACAGCTGTAATTCAAAAGCCTGTCTGCACAAATGGCCAATAAGCACATAAAAAGATGTTCAATATTATTAGTCATCAGGGAAATGCAAACCAAAACCACAATGAAATACCATTTTACACTTACTAGAATGGCTATAATTTTTTTTTTTTGAGATGGAATCTTAGTCTTTCACCCAGGCTGGAGTGCCATGGTGCGATCTCAGCTCACTGCAACCTCTGCCTCGCAAGTTTAAGCTATTCTCCTGCCTCAGCCTCCCAAGTAGCTGGGATTACAGGTGCGTGCTTACATGCCCAGCTAATTTGTTGTATCTTTAGTAGACATGGGATTTCACCATGTTGGCCAGGCTGGTCTCAAACTCCTGACCTCATGATCTGCCCACTTCAGCCTCCCAAAGTGCTGGGATTACAGGCATGAGCCACCACACCCGGCCGGCTATATTTTTTAAGGGGACAACTTAACAGTTACTGACAAGGATGTGGAGTGAAAATGGAACTCTTGTGCTTTGTTGGAAGGAAGGTACAAGAGTTCAACCACTATGGAAAACAGTTTGGCAGTTCCTCAAAAAGTTAAACATAGAACTACTATGTAATTCAGCAGCTTCACTCCAAGACATATACCTCAAACAATTGAAAGTAGGGCCTCAAACATGTATTTGTATACCCACATTCACAGCAATATTATTCACAGTCGCCAAAAGGTGAAAACAACACAAATGTCCATCAACAAATGAATGGAAAAACAAAATATGGTGTATATATACAGTAGGATATTATTCAGCCACAAAAAAGTTAAATTTTGATATATGCTCCAATATGAATGGACCTTGATGACATTATGCAAGATGTAATAAGTCCTATACAGAATGACATATACATATTGTACGAATCCACTTTTGTGACGTGCCCAAAGTAGAGAAATTCATAGAGACTGTAGAATAGAGGTTACCAGGACCTGGGAGGGAGGGGAGCATGAGGAGTTGTTTCCATTTCCATAATGGACCTGGAACATAGAAATGCTGACCAGACTTGGACTCAGAACATTTAAATTCTGAAAGTATGAGGTAATTTTGCTCAGGAAAAAACATACATTTGTAACATATGGGGTGGCTGAATAATGCCTCTTCAAAAATATCAAGGTCCTAATTCCCAGAAGCTTTGAGTGTTATATTGCAAAAGAGATTTTACAGATGTGATTAAGGTAACAATCTTGAGATGGGGAGATTATCCTGGATTATCCAAGTTGGTCCTAAGTATATGCAAATGACCTTCTAAGCAGGAGGCAGAGGGAGATTTGACTGCGGAAGAGAAGAAGGTGATGTGATAGAGAAAATGTGTTCTCTTTCTGGGTCCACAAGGGGGCGTAGTTTCTAGGGCAAGAACTTCCCAGAGCCATGCCCCCTCCCATCTCTCTCCATCTTGGAGATTTAACAGTTTATGTTTGAATTTCATGGATGGGAAGAAACTAAGGGTCAATCACTCCAGTGGAAGTTCTAAGGAACTTCTTTCATTGGCCCAGGGTCTTAGAGAAGGTAGGGGTTCCTCCCAGGTTAAAAGTCCCCTTCTTCCACACCCCTTTGGGCTCCATGTTTTGGATCCCCTTCCACCCTGGTGGAAGCCATCTTTCTCTCTCATGGATTTCCCCTCTGGAGTCCCCTTCCACACTCTTTGTGGAAGTTTTCTCTCTTCTCCTCCTTTTTTTTTCTCTTTTCTCTACCGAAATAAAATCACCTTTCTGCAACACTTCTTGGGACTGGTATTTACAAGCTTAACGTGCACCTGCAGTGGTCCCCTCTCTCATTCTTGAGATAGTGGAGACTAAGAACCTACAACATTTTCTCAGGGGAGCAGTGCCTCCCTCCCACACCCCCAAAAAAAGCCTGGTTATGTGATGATGATGAAAGCAAAGAGATAAAAGTTAATATGATGCAGAGACACAAGCTAAGGAGTTAGGACCGCCTCTATGATCTGGAAAAGGCAAGGGAATTGATTAACACTTATAACCTCCAGAAGGAGGTGTCCCTGCCAGCATGTTGGTTTTAGCCCCATAAATCCTATTCTGAACTCTGTCATAAATATAACACATTGTGTTGCATTAAGTCATAATATTTGTCATAATTTGTTTTAATGACAATAGGAAACTAACACATCATAGACATAAAAATTATCTTGAAAATTTAAAGTTAACATTTAAATTTGCAACTCAACCTAGCAACACCTTGTGATGAAAAGCAAGTTAGAAAACCAAATTTTCGCTGATAGCCACAAAATTTAATTTAGCAGAATATCTGAAAGCTCCTCAGAGGGTACTTAGAATAAAAAGCAATGATGCTGAGGGCTTTTCAAAAATCCTTTGGAAAGCTTTGTAGAAGTAAGGGAAGAATACCAGAGGAGACATTTTTCAAAGAAGACTTTTTATTTTAAAAATAAAATCATAAAAGTGGTTTTTTATGAAATAATTTGTCTTCATTTAAGAAATTGTTGCCTTTAAAGAGATATCTTGGCACTAATGATTGGCATTGGGTGATTTTAATTCTGAGATGTCTGTTATCATAAAGGAAATTATGAGACCAAAGGATTGAGCTTCTAATTTTCTGTAAGAATACAGAAGAGGAGGAGGGTAAAAATGTTAAGATGAGCTTAAGTAACACACAGATACTGGATAACCAGATGCCTTTTATGCTAATGTAGATCACAATGTTTGTGTTTGACTTAAATGTTTTTCTACTGATAAGAAAGATTTGAAATGAACAATGGGTCTAATCAACAATATTTCTTGGGGGTGCATTTCCACTGATGCCAGCCACAAGGACAAATCTTAAAATCAACATTTTTCAGTATCTTTAAGTGTTTCTCTTTATAACCTGCCCTATGGGCATAAAACGGGATTTCTTTCTGAGAAAGATACTTTTCAAGATAATGAAAAACTTGTGACATCTTCCCTTGGCTTCTGTATTTGGGGATAGTATAACCCATTCTCAGCTCACAGGACTGTTCCATCACAACCCAAGAGACAAGCTCCCCCTCTGGACCTAGCACACCAAATCCTAGAAAATCCTGGAGGCAGCGTTCAATATATTTCAAGCTTCTCTCATTTTTCCCATAGGCCCAGTGTTCATTTATAAGACCTGCATGTGAAGTGTCTAAGAACATGTTTGAAAAGTTTCCTTTCCTGTGAAGAAAAAAAAAATTGCATTTATTCAGCCAATATTTACCAAACACTGGAATTGCAAAAAAATAAATATAACACCATTCCTTTTCTTGAAGATCCTACAGCCTAGAGGAGACAATAGATGCATAAAAACTACCTTTTCTATTTCTGCTTCAAAATGTTTCTAAATAATTGATGGGGGAGCACTATGTGTTTTATGGTATATTTCATAACAGAGAGATAGTATGATATATTACAGAACATCTCAAAATGTCTCATCAAGTACCCTAAGGAAAAAAATGAAGACACGTCCCTAAAAGACTGAGGATATAGACCAGAAAAGCCCTCCACATGGCTGAATTTACATGAAACCATGTGTATTTTGAGTTCTGCTCCACAAAATCTGTAAATACACAAGATAGTATTTCATTCAACAGATATTCCAATAAAACATATTTTACAGGGAGATGAGAACAATGCTGATCTTACATCTTCATGTGTCCCTAAGTCCATCATCACATACCTTTAGGGAATTACCAAAAATGCAGTTTAAGAATCTGCAATATAGGAAAAAGAATACTAAATTTTTGGTGCTGACCATTGGGATTTTAATCCTGATTATTTTATTTTGGAAAAGTTATGTGAGACTCAGTTTTCTTGTTTGTAAAATTATAGTAATATTCTCTGTAAATACGGGGATGATGGAAGAGAGATCTCCAGGAAGTTTGCCTCTCTTCAGGGAGGAAGAGTTTTGAGAAGTTTGTCAGTTTCAGAGTCGCTTCACTTTTGCCAGTGGGCAAGTCACTGAACACTAAGTTTTCTATAGGTGATGCTTTGTTTTTGCTCTCTTCCATGTGTGGCCTGATCCTGGGCTTGCTTCCTGAAGGATCTCAAGTACCCTTTCCTTCACCCCGTCCTGTGGATAGCCGAACCTAGAAAGGAAGATATCGGTATATCCATGTAGGAGTTGAAGAATCACCTTAGGGCAGGTACTTCATACCAAATTTCCAGAGTTATACTACTAAATATTATTTAATCCCCATTTATCATTTTCTCTGTGTATATGTTCCTCTTAATAGCCTCATGGGAACACTGGTGGGGCAAAGCAGGATTTGAACAGTGTTTACTTTTCTGGCTAACTCAAATGTATCTGTGAGTGTGTGTTTAGATTTTATTTAGTTTTTCAATTAGTAATACAATTATAAAGCATAAATGGTTTATTAGAGGAAAGAAAATCTCTCTTCTTTCTCTGATCTCCTGTTACCCATTTACTTTCTTTATAAGTGACCAGTAATGCCAATATATTTTGCACAACTTTCCAGTTATTCTACACAACTTTAGGTGTGTACATACATTTGTTTACTGACACAAGTGGTAGCATACCATATACATTGTTCTGTCCACCTTATTTTTTAACTTAGCAATTTGTTTTGGAAATCTTTTCTAATCTGTCATGTAGAGCTGCTTCATTCTTTTTAATTGCTGCATAGTATCCTAATATTTCAGTGTACCATAATAAATGTATCAATTTTCCCATTACTGTATGTTTAGGTTGTTTCATAAGTTATGATATCACACATTAAATTCATGAAAGTCTTGCTATCCAGTTTGGTAATACCATTCATTTAATATGCATATTCTTTGGCTCAACAATTTCAATTCTAGTAATTCATCTTTCAGAAATATTTATACAACTGTGCAATGATCTATTTATGATGATATTCATTGCAGAAGTTGCAGTAAAGTACGTGTACATGTTGTGAAGATAAATAAATAAAATAACTCATGTAGAGCACTAAAAGCATGCATATTAGTGTCAAGAATATTTACATCTGGCAGAGGAACCCAAGTGGACAGATTCTATTTTTTAATGTATACACTTATGTACTTTCTATAAGCATGTAGCATTTTGTAAGACATAAATAGTTTCAGTAAACATTTTCCAGGGCCCCCATGATGTCCATTCCCCTCTCAGAAGGACCCTTGTGAGCCCTAAGTGAGATAATATGCATAAAGATCTTGTCTAATGAAGTTTCTGCACATGCTCAGCATACAGTCGGCAGCATAACTCCCTTTCTTTACCCATGCAATTGTGTAACCGATCATAATTTAGTTTCAAGTCCTACATTTCCAAGTACAAACTTTGCGGCAACTTAATAATTCTATCAAGGAATTTGGGAAGCAAAAAGTAAAATCTTACTTGTTATTGTCATCCACTTTATGCATTTCAAATAACTCCATATTGTAATTACTTGAAGTTTTGTGTTTCTTTGATAACTCTGGCATGAGGAGCATGTTTTTCATGTAATCTACCTGCACTGATTTTGAAGTTGCAACCTTTCTTACTGCTTCATCCAGGCCCTCCTGGCAACCTGGAAAGAGGAGAAAGACAAGTACTGCTTTATCCCTTCCATATCAGCTAAAACTAACGCATGGGTCTTTTCCTTTTAACTCAGACTAGTTACCTTGAATCTGGAAAGTTTGCTCCCAATTGATAACCTGGGAGCAGGACAAGACCTCCTCCAACTTGTCAGTAGCTTTGGTGAAGATCTGATAAGTGTTGGTATAATGATCCTGGTCATCTTTCATCTCCTGATATAACAAATATCAATCATATTTACATAGCACTACAATTTGTGAAATGTTCTTGTATAGGTCTAGAATGCTAAAGATTCAATTGTTTAAAACATTTTCTGTTTTTCTGAGATAGGTGTAGAAAATGGCCTTGGGTCCCTTCAAGAATAACTCACTGTTGATACACTGAAGATAGTTTCTTTCTTTTAGGGCACTAAAGTGAGCTACCCTTGAGAGAGTGAATAAATAGTTCCATTGTCTAGAAGGGGAAGTGTACCCAAAATGGTATATGTTAAAGATTTTTTTTTTTTTTTTTTGAGACGGAGTCTCGCTCTGTCACCCAGGCTGGAGTGCAGTGGCATGATCTAGGCTCACTGCAACCTCCGCCTCCCTGGAGCAATTCTCCTGTCTCAGCCTCCCGAGTAGCTGGGACTAGAGGCACCTGCCACCACGCCTGGCCAATTTTTGTATTTTTAGTAGAGACAGGGTTTCACCATAGTGGTCAGGTTCGTCTCCAATTCCTGACCTCAGGTGATCCGCCCACCTTAGTCTCCCAAAGTGCTGAGATTACAAGCATGAGCCACTGCGCCCGGCATGTTAAGGATTTAAAAGAGAAGGTGCCTAAGGTATGGAAATAAATATAAAGAACAGGTTTGGCCAGGATGTGGGTTTTTGATGAGGTGACACCTGAGTTAATCCTGACCCAGCACTCTGGTGCTGGCTCAGTGATTGTCTCTTGGCGTGCAATTGAATAGATAAACTTTTGGAAAGAACCATCATTCCAGAGTTAGTGTAGTACCTAGAATAGACAGCTCAGTCTGCCTCCACATGCCTGCCTACCCTCTGCATTGACACTTCCCCTTGGGAGTCCTTGCAGGTAAAAACACTTCTTAATCATTTTCATCCATAGAAATCTAGGTTGAGATATCTTGATGGAAAAGGTTGACTGAACGGAATCCTAATTTTATTTACACATCCTGGATTATTGATTACTGGATCTAAGTTCAAGCCTTATCTCTGCCCTATCTCCTCTTCCAAACAGCCCTTCCAAAACCTGCATAGATCAACAGTACTAAGGTTCTTCTCATCACCCCTCAATATCAGTTCCCTCATTGCCACACAGAGAACGTCTAGAGAGTGACTGCCCTGATATTCAGTAGCTATTGCTCCTACCTGTTTCTGAGGCCGAGTAATGACCATCTGGTAATCTGGCCAGGCATCTACCAGTACCTCCATTTTGAATGGGTTTTTATGTTTTATGTTAAAAAGGGCACCATATACCTATAATGCAACAGAACAAAACAGGAGGAGATCAGTTTTTCTCCATTATAGAGTCTTTTATGTGGCATGGGAAATAAGGACAAGAGGTCTAGGAGGACTTAGGATGGGGCCAGTGCTTCCAGGATGGCTTGTTGGACTACTCATTGAGTTATGCTGCAAGAGGTCCTAATAAGCCATTGCAAAAATCCAAGTTAATACATGAATCATTAGGAATTGGTTTCCCTGACATTCATTTATTTTTTTTAATTAATGCCATTTTCTCAATTTCTTCTTTCTTTATTTCATAACATACTATTTATTTGACATCTATTATGCATCAGGTCCGTGTTAAGCATGAAAAACTCAAAGGTGGATATGATATGGCCACAACCTTAAAGTTAAGTTTAGAAGAATACAGAGTATATAGTTTAACCATCATAGAACACACAGTCTGAGAGATATTTGTATGTGGTGGTATAGGATCCCAAGGAAGAAAAGCACTACCTGTCTAGGGAGTGATGGGGAGACTTACATAAGAAGTCATATCTGAACTGGTCTTGATAAATAAGTAATGTATTTTTCTGGTAAATAGAGAATGAGAGCAAGTTATTACAAGTAGGAGAAAAAGCACGAGTGAAATGATTAAGAATATGGCAGATTATATCATGCCTACTGAACTGTGAGGGGCTCAATAGTTGTAGCATGTGGTATATGGCAGGAGAATGTAGAAAGGCAAAATAGAAGAGGCCAGAGAATTGTGTGTTAAACCCTGTAATCCAATTAAGCCTTGGAGATGGACTCTGCAAATTTGCTATGGCAAATTTTTTAAAAAGGGAGGGATATGATCCTATATGTATTATATAGCTGACTCTCATCACCAAATTGTAGCTAGATTGTTAAGATTGGAGACAGGAGATATTTAAATTTCCTAGAAGAGATGAGGAAGTACAACAGAAACAGCAGAAGGATAAATTTAAAAATGATTAAAAGGAAGCAAAGTAGGTGATTGACTGGATATAGATATTAAGATCATCTTTGAACAGATTCTGACTTAGACTTGCATTCCCATCTCTTCAGTAAGGTTCTGAACCCTAAATCTGTTCTCCTCTCAACTCAGCCCTCTCTCCTTTGATCTCCTTCTACTTCCTTACCTTTGTAGATTCAGGGATGTTCTTTTTCAAGGATTTATACAGAATCTCCAGAATCAGAGAGTTTTGAAGCACAAACATCTTATATAGCACTTCAGCTTCCTTTTCTCAACAAGATGCTCTAAGGAAATAAACACATGAACAAAAATACTACAATAGGTGTCCAGAAAGAAGAGGAAGGAGAAATCACCAGGGACATCATACACTGTTAGCAGTGACGGGGTTTAAAAATTATCCAGTCCAAACCTTTCAGTTTACAAATGAGAAACTAAAGCCCAGGGATGCAACTAGACCTCAGGGATTCTTGGTAATCTCCATAAAATTCCACTTTAAAAGTACCATAATGTATCTGGTAAAATAAATCTCCCATGCCCATTTGTTTCAAATCAGGTCAAGAATATAGAGAGTGAATGCCTTCAGCTGTCCAGATGCAAATGTCCAGCTGCCCCTCTGGAGAGCACCTCCACCTCCAGGCATTGAAACACTTGCTCTAATGTTGCCATAGCATGGGTACTATTTTCAGCTATCATAAAAGAATGTAATCATCTGGGAAAAAACTTGCAGACTATATTGTGTGTAGTCCTTTTTCTCCTAAGGGGAAAAAAAAACCATAGGAAGAAAAAATTGTTGATTAGGGGTGATACCATCAAGCAGAAGTTGGCAAGATCTAGGTGTTGGAATTATGCATTATCAACCTTAAAAATAGAGCAAACTCTTTTATTCAGTAAGTCTGCATCTATAAAGTCATCTCAAGGAATTAATAATAGATACGTTTTAAAATGTAAAAATTAAAAAATTTAGTGAAATATGATACTGTATATTAGATATAATACAAAATTCATCATGAAGAAATGATCAAGTTAATGATGGTATATCCAAATAATAGATTACCAGGCAGCTATCAAAATGATGTTTTTGACGAGTGTTTCATGATGTAGGAAAACATCTATATCATGAAGTTAGGAAAATATATGATGTAATCCCAAATTAATAATATAAAGATGTATACATAAATGGTTATCTGTGTATATATGCATGTGCATATACCCACCTGAAAGTCTTTCTGAAACAAAGTGGTATATAAATAAGATATACATATGAACTTTTAAACTTTCTTCCAGCCATATACACATGGCTGACAATATATATAATTATATAATATATATTTAGATTATTTATCTGACCTCTCATATGATATTTGAAGGCAATATGTAAGAATGGCCATATTTTCTAAAAACCAACTAATACAAAAATTTCTCCACCATTTTGATGGCTTGCAAGGAAGCCATTAATATTTTTTGCAATCCCAGAAAACTCAGCACATATGATACCTATGTATGCATGTATATATGCAAGTATATAGCCAGAATCAATACAAAAGGAAGAACAGTGGTTAACAACATGGGCTTTGGAATCAAACAAACCAAAACTCCACCACTGGCTCCTCTTCTGGCTATCTGGGTCACCTTAGGTAAGTCAAATTATTTGAGTCTCTGACTCAGTTGCATTATCTACAAAATTGGGATAGCAATATTTACTTTGTAGGTAATGAGGATTTCATTACCACAAAAGGTATGTGAAGTGTTTAGCACAGTGGTAAATTGTGTATATACAAGGTTCTGAAGGAAATTTTAAAGACCTTTAAATTCAATGAAGGTGACCATTTCACCAGACAGAAATGTAATTGAAGAAAACTGCAACTTCAAAGATAGACCATATGTAACTTGCTTGAATAAATTTATTGACACAAAATAGACATTTGGAGGCAAACTGCAGATCTAGAACAAGCCACTGTGTTTCTGTCACTGTCTAGAATGATGGATGCATTAACCAAATGGTACAGAATTCTGCCCATTCTGCAGGCTTTGGTAGCATATTTCCCCAGAGGAGAGTAATCTCCTTGGTAAGTGGTACCATGTCTTATTCTTCTTTATTACTCAAGCATCAAGCACAGCACTTAGCATAGTGTAAGCATTAATAAACTTTTGTTCAGTGAATGAACAAAAAGAATCAGTGAAGGGTAGAAGTGGGGTTTTTAGAACATTTTTCTTCAAAGACTGAACATCAAGTCTCTTTGCTCCAGGCTTAGTCAAGTTTATGAGAAAAATGTGGCTGCTAACAGAAACTTTCAAAGCAGAAGAAAATGCCCAATAGTAGGGGTATTTGCGATAAAAATTAGGTATATAACCTGTAGGAGATACACAAAAATGTGGATTAAATAAAGGTTGTAAATGGGCTGTTGCCACTACAAATAGCACATGCTATTCCACCCCCTTCCTTTTCACAGTCTGCTTCCCCCTATGGCAGGGCCCTGGTTTAGCTCCCATCAATGAGAGACACCTAGTTTCAACTCTCTCCAAGGTGCCAAGGCAGTAGAATCTTTATGGCTCAACCTAATTCAACAGTCCAATATCATATAATATATTCTTCAATACATTATAATGGAGGATTATAAGAGAGTTACTATTGGATCAGATATTGTTTAACAAAATCAGAAAGGAAGAGGATCCAGTAGGAGAGATAGAAAAAGTGGATAGAAAAACAATGTGAAAAACAAGAGAAGGATCTTAGAAGTCAAAATAGGAGAAACTTTCAAGGAAATAGTGACCAAAGCAGCCAAAGGCTGCTGAGAAGCTAAAAGAGATGAATACTAAAAATGGCAGTGCATTTTGGAGTTAGGAGTTGATTACAGCTAGTGCTCGACTTATGACCACGATTGGTTCCAACAGACTGGTCGTAACACGATTTGGTCGTAAGTTGAGTAGGCTATATGTACAGTACTGTGAAATGGTGTTATAAAAATATTTAAGTCATATTTTATCATAATTTTCTTTCATTATTGTTATATATCATAATTTTCTTTGTTCATTTTATGCCATTTGTATCATCTCTACACCATTTTGTTTCTTATTTTTACATTCATCAGGTTTAAGTAAAACACTGCATTACCAGTAGTAAAGGTTGACCTGAATGCTTATTATGAAAGCATTCTTGTCAAATCTCATTTTTAAAAAGCCACCTTAACTTGTGGTAAAGGCGCAGCCTTGTGTAAAACTGTGGAATATTCACAGATCACTGAACCACGGTGGTCTATGGTTTGAAGTGAAAAACCACGGCACATGATGAGTTTTGAAAAGCAGGGAGTATGAATTATGTTAAGTCTTAGGGTTAAAAAGGACTAGTTGCCAGGTATTTATTTATTATCATTGTAAATAGAAAAGTAAATCATCACAATTTTATGTGACTTTCCATGGGATACAAATATGTAGCATTCATCATAAAAGATGTCATCTGGATATCTTGTTCAAATATAATTTAAACTTAGTATGTTCTAATATTGTTAAAGATATAGGGATATATACCACTCACATTTTAGTAAGAAAGGCAAGAAAATGACTAATAATGATATGATATAGCATATATGTTTATTGTCCCGCACTGTCATACACCCAGCTGGGCAACGTTTGTGCTGCCAGACGCGGAGCAGTCGTGGCTAGCGATTGTGGTCATAAAGTCAAATGGTCATAAGTTGCATAGGTCGTAAGTTGATCAATGCCTGTACTGACTTAGTAAGAGAAGTGGATGGGAGAAGAAACCAAGTTATGGGGGTTGGAGACTTAATGAAATGTGAGGAAGTGAAGGTAACTTTTATAAAGAGCTTGATCGGGAAAGGAAGAAGAACACTAGAGTATCAAGGGGAAGAAGAGAGATACAAAAACTCAAAGAAAGGCATTTCTCTTATTAGATGAGAGTTAAGCACACCTATACTAACTACAAGAGGTGAGATGTAAGTAAGTGATAGGCCAATGTGTATAATAGGACATAGAAAGGTAACAGAAATTCATTGACCCTATATACAAAATTCCAACCACTATTACAGCTTCTTTATGTTGATTAATTCATTTAATCATCAACCATAATTCTAAGCATAGTTGTTAAAATTAGTTTTGGACAGGAAGAATACCTCTTCCAGTGAGAAGTCAGAGAAAATTTTAGAATGGATGTAGGTACAGGTGTATGTATGTAGGTATACAGCAGGTCCTCAAATAATGTCATTTTGTTCAATGTCTTTTCATTATAATGTTGAAGAGAAAAATAATCAATTCCTGTCTGGACCACTGTCTATGTTCAGTTTGCATGTTCTCCTCATGTCTGTGTGGATTTTGTCTGGATAATCCTGTTTCCTCTCACATCTCAAAAATGTGTATCTTAGTTAATTAGTATGTATAAATTGTCCCAGGATAAGTGAGTGTGTGTGTTTGTGTGTGTGTGCCCTGTGATGAAAGGGTGTCCAGTCCTCCAGTTCAGGGTGGATTCCTACCTTGTGCTCTGAGCTACCAGGATAGGCTTCAGTCACTTGCACCCCTGAACCAGAATAAGCCAGGTGAAAAGTGAATGAATAAATGAAACATTCATAATAAAACAAAAGTTCATAAAGTCTGTGATAATCATACAAATACATAACAATAAACAATGCTGTGCAAAAGGACTCAGCAAGCCCACCACATATGTGATTGATTTTTAACTTCATAGAGGCAAGAGGTGCTCCTTACAATGTTTGCTTTGCAAACATTTATTTCTCAGTTTAACCCACCACCACTGTGGTCACCATCACACACTGACTCACCAAAAAATCAGTAAATAGTTACCTTACTTGTTTTTATTAATATTTCTTAAATGTATATACAGTTTACATGTATTTCAAAGTTTTATATTAGAAGTGTTTGAGGCCTTCATTTATAAGTTTGGTGATGTTTTTGTGATCAGAAATATGCTGTGGTAACTTAATTCTTGTTTATAATAATCAGCTTATCGTAAAATTGGTTTTATTATATGTTGTTTCATTTGAACTTCCAGTTTCCAAGAACCTATCGACAATGTTAAGTGAGAACTTACTGTATATAAAAATACACAGGGTTAGAAAAAAAGAGCAGAAAGAGTTGGTGAGTTATTTTTGAATAGCTATATCCTAGAAGAGGTAAAATTTCTTCCTATTCCCCAAATCAGTTTTTAGAAGTCAATGAGTGAGGAAGTATGCCAAGAAAGTGTGGAGGAAAAGAAGTAGGATTTTATGGGAATGAATGGCTTTTGATGTTAATGGGAGAAAAAGTAGACTAGAGTTAGCAAGGACTGGCAAGCATGCCTAGGATTGTGTAAAGATGAAAACTACGATTTGGAAGTGTTACTCAATAATATATTGAGTTCAGCTCCCTGAGAGTAGAAGCAGAGAAAACAGATTAAAACAAACCAAGATTGGGTTTTTCAGGGCTGGAGTAGCAAAAAAGGATAAGGGACAAGTCACTTGAGAATATATAACTGAGAGATTGAAACTGACAAACTGTCACATCTAGGAGAAAGAAGAAAAAAAGTAAAGTAGGTTGGAGACTAATAAAGTGAGAAAATATAGGCAAAGCAATGGATGAAAGTACTTGTTGAAGTCAAAGAATAGCAATGGTAATAGACAGGAGAAATTGTACTTACAAATGGGAGACTGGGGTCAGATATTAGACTATTAGAGGTTAAGATTTCAGAGGTATTCCAAGGTAGATCAGTCTGGGATGTATGGTTGTTGGATTCAACTCCAAGCCAACAAAGTAGGAGCCAAGAAGGGAATGGGAGTCTCAGGCATCACAGGCATGAACGGGATGTAACAGAAGTTTGTTGGAGAGAAAAATTACGGTGTCAAGTGCCAAATGTTTTAATGAATGGAGAGAAATTTGGCAGAGGACAACAGAAAAGCATTGATTCCAGCCACATGACACAGAAGGAAGAAGGAAGATTTTTCTATGCAAACAAACAAGTAATACTTTAGAAGCGAAATTGGAGGCAAGGAGAACACTGATTTTTTTATCCCATAATATTGCTATGGAGATCTAGAGGGTGTCAGGGAAAGATATAAGCATATGGATAATTTACAATTCAAGGAAAACATTTGAACATTTCACAAATTCAAAAGGATACACACCAGCTATTTCTAAAGTATTTTTCAGCTTCAGGTACCTAAAAGGTTTTGAGGAATTTGTTCTCAACATTGAGACCCTGGTGCATGCTCCTTCCAAAGGTTTGCAGGGGGAAAGAAATAAATTAACAAATACAAATGAGTTAGAGCAAGAATCGTAATTAATTGAAGTGCTGAGGGAAAAAAAAAGACTGTTCTAAGCAATTCTGCTTACCTGAAGTTTCTTCGTAGACCTGTAGGCACACCACCTGCTGCACTTTCTCAGTATGTCAAGGGAAAGGTTTCTGTAGCTAACACTCTGTGGACTCAGACACACTAAACTTCAACTGACTCATGTTGTCACTCCTTAGCATAAAGCTTCAAGAAGTTATGGGTTCCTGTAGACCAAACCAGACGTTCTGTCCATTGACAGGAAGTCAGGGGTTTTGTGGTCCAGAGGAGGACTGAGAATGTGTTCTGCATTGAGTGTCTTCTACAATGATAAGAAGTTGTACACCAGAAACCTTGGATTTATACATAACCACTTACAGCTGAATGGCTATTCTAGAACATATTAAGTCAGTTTTACATAGCACAGCTGCAGCCTTATTTGAATGATGACAGTAGAGCAAACAAAGATTTGGAAATTTTGGTTTCAATGCAAAATACTTTGCCTAATACTTTCAAACATTTGTGGCTTGGAAAAAGCCAAGAATGCCTCAAGGAAGTTACTATAATAATGAGAACTGGGCTTCATATACCTTGTCCTCTGGTTGTCTAAAGTGGAGGAATAGGGAGGGGAATTATAAATGTAAGAAGAAAAAGCAATTACTGGAGAAAAGATTAGGAGGGACTGGAATTAGCTTTGTAGAGAAACAGAGACAAAAATTGTTTTTCAATGTATATTCCTCACACCATGTACTTCAAGATCAACTGGGCTTGCTTGTTAACAATACAAGAACTTTTTCAGATCAGGTAAAACAGAGGCTCTTAGAGTGCCTGACAATGTGTATCTTATAAAAAGCTATCTAAAAGAGTCTGCTCTACATTAACATTTTGGAGACATTTAGATTGAAAAATGTGCAAACAAGTTATAAAATTTTTATGCTGGGTGCAGTGGATCACACCTGTAATACCATCTATTTGGGAGGCTGAAGCAGGAAGATCGCTTGAGGGCAGAACTCTGATATGAGCCTGGGCAATCTAATGAAACCCCAGTCTTTAAAGTTTTGTGTTTTTAATTAACCAGGTATAGTGGCATGTGTTTATAGTCCCACCTACTCAGAAGACCAAGATGGAAAGATTACTTGAACCCAGAAATTCAAGATCGCAGTGAGCTGTGACTTTACCACTGTACTTCAGCCTGGGATACAGAGTGAGACATTATCTCTAATTAAAGATATATATATTTACCCACTATCTGGAACTGAAAGCAACTTCACAAATTTTAATTATTTATGACATGAGAAAAGCAAGAGTTATTTACACACAAATAAGAAAGATGTTGCTCAGAAAAAATAAGTGTCTTCCCACAGGTTACAGAAATAACCAGTGGCATCATCTGGAATATGAAGCCAACTATCGAATTATTTTAATAACATTATGATTCTGCAGAGAGTAATTCCCTACACTTGGGCAGTTTATATCTTCTTACAAATGCAAATAATCTACTCCAGAAGACATATTAAAAATTCTCAGTGAGGATTTAATACTATCAATTAACACTTCTGATTATTAAATAATAATATTATTTAATAATTATTAATTATTATAAATTATTATTTAATAATCAGAAGTGATTCACAAAATCTATCAAGGAATTTTTACATATTTATAATTGTAAATGATTAATTTGTTAAATTTATAATATCAAATTGTATAGTTATACAATAAATTAATTAATCATCCTTTTAGAAAAGTGGTCCATTTCAACTAGTCAATACATATTTTTCATTCCACGATTGACAGCACACTGTAGATAGTTGAGAGAACACAATTTTTATTCTATACTGAGTATTACATAAGTAATTTATTGAGCCATAAAACATTTTATAAAGATAGTTTACATTGGGGAGGAGAAGCAAAGCAAGTTGGCAGAATAGAAGGCTCCACTAATCACCTCCCCACACCCCACAGGGCACCAAGTTAACAACTGCACATAAAACACACCTTCATGAGAACCAAAAATCAAGGTGAGCACTCATAGTAGCTGGTTTTAACTTCATATCACTGAAAGAGGCACTGAAGAGACTAAAAAAAAAAAAAAAACAGTCCTGAATTACCAACCCCTATCCCTAACAACCTCAGCAACAGTAGTGTGGTATAGAGAGCATCTCTGCACACAGGATGAGGAAGAACACAGCAATTATGAAGCATTGAACTCATTGCTGTCATGTTAGGCAGAAAGGAAAACTAGACCAAATGCAGATGACACCTGCCCACAGAGGCAGAGGGAACATTTAAACCACTCCTAACCAGAGGGGAATCACCAATCCCAGCAATCAGAATTTCAGTGCCTGAAAACCTCACCACAGAGGGCCTACAGTGCTCTGAATCTCCAAGTAAATTTGAAAGGTAGTCTATACCATAAGGACTGCCACTCTTAGGTGAGTCCTAGTGCTGAATTAGGCCCAGAAATTGTGGACTGGGGGGACACTTGACATACTGAGACGCCAGCTGGATCAGCCAAAGGAGTGCTTGTATCACCCCTCTCCTAACCCCAGGCTGCATAGCTTGCAGCTTCAAAAGAGACTCCTTCCTTCTGCTTGAGAAATGGAGAAGGAAGAATGAGGAGGAATTTTTCTTACATCTTGGATACCAGCTCAGCCACAGCAGGATAAGTCACCAAACAGAGTTTTGAGGCCCTTGTTCAAGGCCCCAGCTCCCAGACAACATTTCTAGACACAGCCTGAGCCAGAAAGGAACTCTTTGCATTGAAGGAAAGGATCGAGTCCTCACGGCATTCCTCACCTGCTAACTGAAGATACCTTGAGCTCTAAATAACCAATAACAATACCCAGGTACTATTAATACACCAAGGACTTTGGGTAAGCATCTGAGACTAGTAGGTTTTAGGTGAGACTCAGCACATTTCTGGCTGTGGTGGCTATGGGGCAAGATTACTTCTGTTTCAGAGAAGTGGAAGGAGAAGTAAAGAGACCTTTATCTTGCACCTTAGGTTCCAGCACAGCTACAGCATGGTAGAGCACCAAGTGGGCTATTGACATCCCTAATTCCAGGACTTAGTTCTTGAACAGCATTTCTGGACCTTCCCTGGGCCAGAAGGGGGCCACTGCCCTGAAGGGAGAGTCCCAGGCCAGGCAGCCTTTACAACTTGATTTAAAAGCCCTTAGGCCTTAAGAGAACACTGGTTGGTAGTCTGGCAACAAGTGGTTAGGGATGGTTATGGGGTGAGGCTCCTCTGCCTTTGGAAAGAGAAGGGAAGAGTGGGAAGGACTTCATCTTGTGGTTTGATCGTCAGCTCAGCTGCAATATAATAAAACAACAGGTAGCCTTCTAATGGTTTTGACTCTAGACATTGACTTCTGGATAGCAACTCTGTATCCACTCAGGGCCTAGGGGACCTCATTGCTCCAATGGGAAGGATGCAGCAGGTGGCTGGCTTTGCCACCTGCTAATTGTAGAGCTCCAAAGCCTTTAGCAAACATAAGCAGTTTGCTAAAGTGGTTACAGCAGGCTTTGGGCAAGATGTAGTGCTGTGCAGGCCTCAGGGCTGATCTAGTGCAGTCATAAGGGTGGTGGTGGCCACAGGAGTGCTTGTGTCACTCCACCTCCAGGTTCAGGTGGCTCATACCAGAGAGAGAGACTTTCTTTTGGAAAAAGTAAGTAAAGAAAACAGAAAAGTCTCTGATTGGCAACCTAGAGAATTCTCCCATATCTTGTCTAAGACCATTGAGGCAGTACCCTATGAGTCTTCAAAAACCACAGTGTTGCTGGGTTTGGGATGCTCCCTAAAGTAGAGATAGCTTAAAACACAATACCTATGTTCTTTCAAGTATCTGGAAAGCCTTCTCAACAAGGTTGGCTACAAATAAGCCCAGACAGTGAAGACTATAACAAATACCTAATTGTTCAGTGCTCAGGACCGGAAGAATATCTACTAGCATCAACACCATTGAGAGACACATGACCTCACCAAATGAATTAAATAAGTCACCAGTGATTGGTCCTGGAGAAACGGAGATATGTGACCTTTCAGACAGAGAATCTGAAATAGCTGTGTTGAGGAAACTCAAAGAAACTTACAAATACACAGAGAAGGAATTCAGAATTCTATCAGATAAATTTAACAAAGATATTGAAATAGTTAAAAAGAAGCATAAATTCTGGAGATGAAAAATGCAATTATACTGAAGAATGCATCAGGGTCCTTTAACAGCAGAATTGACCAAGCAGAGAAAAGAATTAGTGAGCTTGAAGACAGGCTATGTAAAAATGCACCATCAAAGGATACGAAAGAAAAATTTTTTAAATAAAGCACATCTACAGGATATAGAAAAATGCCTCAAAAGGGGAAATCTAAGAATGATTGGCCTTGAAGAAAAATTACAGAAAGAGAGATAGGGGTAGAAAGTTTGTTTAAAGGGAAAATAACAGAGAACTTCCCCAAACTAGAGAAAAAATATGAGTATATGAATACAGGAAAGTTACAGAACACGAAGCAGATTTAACCCAAAGACTATCTCAAGGTATTTAAAATCAAACTCCCAAAGGTCAAGGAGAAACAATCGTAAAAGCAGCAAGAAAAAAGAAATAAATAACATACAATGGAGATCCAATACATCTGACAGAAGATTTTTCAGTGGAAACTTTATAAGCCAGAAGACAGTGGAATGATATATTTAAAGTGCTGAAAGAAAGAAAGAAAAAAACCTTTTACCATAGAATATTAAATCTGGCAAAAAATATTCTTCAAACATGAAGGAGGAATACTTTCTCAGACAAGAGCTGAGGGATTTCATCAATATCAGATCTGCTACAGAAATGTTAAAGAAAGAAAATAAAAGAGGATTAGAAAGAACAGAACATTCAGAAAGAAAAGAACGTTAGTGAGCAATAAATAATCTCGAGAAGTTTTAAAACTCACTGCTAATAATAAGTACACACAAAAAGACAGATTATAACACTATAACTGTGGTGTATAAAGTATTTTTATCCTAAGTAGAAAGACCAAATGATGAACCAATCAAAAATAGTAACTACAGCAACTTTTTGAGACACAGTCAGTATAATAAGATATAAATAGAAATAACAAAAAGTTAAAAAGTGGGGAGACAAAATTAAGGCATTGAGTTTTTATTAGTTTTCTTTCTGCTTGTTTGTCTATAAAATAGTGTCAAGTTGTTATCAGATTTAAATAATGAGTTATAAGATAGTATTTGCAAACTTCCTGGTAACCTCGAACCAGAAAACATACAATGGACACAAAAAAAATTAAAAGAAAGAAACCAAATTATATCACTGGAGAAAATAGCCTTCACTAAAGGAAGGCAGGAAGGAGAAAAAGAAGGAAGAGGGGATCAGAAACAGAAAACAAATAACAAAATGGCAGGAGTAAGTCCTTA